GAGGTCGGCTCCTAGCCATATCAGCAAGTGTGTCCAACCAAACGTGTTCATCGTCCTTTGGACCCCAACCAGGGAGCCGAGACGCTCCAACCGAGGCCAGCTCAGAAGTGAGGGCCTTCATTCCTCTCGACCAAGTCATCGCTTGGCCACCCCTCCTCTTCTTCCATCCACACCACGGGCGCGCAAACAACGCATGTCGCGGGAGTCGGTGGGCTGGCATGCGTAACACGTGGCCGAGCCATCGGAGCCTGATGCGTGAAATAACGGTGCTGAGTGGTTCATTTCCTTTTCCTGTGCCGTAAACAAGGCGTCGAACACGCTCGTTGCTCACGCGGTGTTCCCACCAAATGTGAGCTAAATTACGAAGGCACCGGTGGTCGAACGTAACTAGCCTCTTCAGGTCCGCTGCTTTAAGCGGCTAGACTTCACAACCGTACAGTAGGGTCGAACGTACTGCTGCATTGTACACTCTACCCTTCAGGGCAAGAGTGATGTCGCGCCGGTGCCATAAGTGGCGTAGGTTAGCAAAAGCACCCCGAGCTTTTGCTATACGATTCGTGATTTCATCTTCAATCCCACGGGCGCTGATACAACTTCCCAGGTAGTTGAATTTTCGAACGACTTCGAGCTGATCCCCACCAAGGGTCAGCGTAGGAGGCGGTCCAGACCAATCTTGGAGGAAAGCTTTGCACTTGGTGGGTGCGGAGAAAAGCCCGAAGTGACGGACAGCTAGTGCTAATCTGTCCAGTGCCGCTTGGCACGTTTGTGAGCTGTCACAGATCAGGGCAATATCATCAGCATACTCTAAATCAAGAAGTCGTTCTCCTGGGAGTAGCTCCACACCTACTAAGTCGTGTCCTGTGAACGCCATGTCCATGACTTCGTCCACAGCGAAGTTAAAGAGGAAGGGTGACAGCGGACATCCTTGTCTCACGCCACTGGAGATATTAAAGGGAGACGACAACTTGCCGTAAGCCCACACTCTGCCTGAGCTACGCGCATATAATGCTCGGATAACATTCACATATTTCTCAGGTACAGCTTTCCTGAGTAGACAGTCCCAAAGTGCATGTCTATTCACCGAATCGAATGCACCTTTGATATCAAGGAACACGACAACGGTGGGCCGCCAATATATTTGACGGTGCTCCAACAACTGACGCAAAGTGAAGATGTGGTCCATGCAGCTACGACCTTGACGAAATCCGGCTTGCTCTTCGCGAATCTGGCTTTCACGTGTGCCAGTCAGTCTGTGAAGGATGACAGAGGCAAGCAATTTGGAGGCGATGGAGATCAGACTGATTCCTTCACATTCCACTTAGCAATTGCCGAACGATCGTGTGCTATATACCACCTGATATATGTAACAGATGATGTCAATACATGGTTGTTTGCTTGCTTAAAGTGCGTATCCGATTACCAGCCATGCATCTGCACGCGCTCACTGAGCTAGCCCTCTGCTGTCTTCATCGAAATGCTCGGCTTCAAGATTACTCGCACCTAAGCTCACATTCGTGAAGCCGCCGCGTCAGTCCACATCGAACGCCGGATGTCAGTGACGAAAGAGGCAAGTGAGCTGAACTTCGCTTGATATCACTTCTTTGTTACCACAAAGGTATCTGAAGTAGCTCGCCTGTCAAGTTTGAAACTCACGTTTGCGTACGTGCCTCTTATGGTCCGATTAGCAATAAATAAAGGCAAGTCAGTTAATCCATTTCCAGCGCCACCACATCGCACTGAAACAGTGTCTAACCAGGCGTGATCAAGTCTTTTCCTTGGATGGCGTGAGCAGATAAGATAGAGTTTGGCTATAGAATTGAAGTTTGTTGATGATACTGTTGGTGACACTGTTTCGCCTGAAGCCCCAACTAAAGACAGGCCTTAGTAGACATGTTCGAACCTTGTCTTCAATATTTCAAATTTCACCTCAGCCTCACCCGCTTTGTTTCCATATTCCCTGAATCACTACTCCGAGTGTTGTGGTCAGGTCCATTGCTTCGAACTAATAGCACGCATACTAGCATTGTTATAGCGGACCACTGTGCCTCGACCCGAGGATCTTGCTAGTGCGTTGCTGAAGGGTGTGTGCGACACTGCATATGTGCCCAGTCGTTGTATACATTGCTATGTGGTGTACATTCAGCGATATCCGCAATCGTTCCATCCTTCAGATTTGTTCCATTGACTTAATTCGATGACCATTCCTGCAACTACCTTGTTGCTATTTCCTAATCTCTCGTGTGCTTCATACTGAAACGACTCAGTATTCATTGCGGATATTCATTTTAACGACTATATTCTTACGCTTCTTTACTTGTTGGGATGGTCGAATGTGCACAACCGATCTACCATGAGCATCTCTCCTGGTGCAAGGTTTTTTCGAATCCACTTCCTCCCCACCTTTTACTGAGTTGTCAAAGGTAGTGCCTTACCCTCTATAGTTTGATCTACGAATCACTATATCAGGTGCTCTGAATTCACCATGCCAAGTGAAGTTTACTATAGATTTTCTACTTTTCTTTCTTTTTAACTTTGCGGTGGAAATGTTCACGAGTGAACATCCCACCCTTTTCAGTTCTGTCAGGGTATAAGACTTGTCAGGTGGCCGATAGTAAAAGTTAGAATGCGAAGACGATTTTCTCTTTAAGTACCGGACTTTGCTGCTATGCGACTGCTATTGAATGATCCGGCACACCGTGACGCACACACATCGGTATTCACTTCGACTCTTCATAGTGCGAACCGCCGTTATAGTGCTCACTCAATGCACCGCTTCACAAAAGTACTTAAAAAGCGTTTGAGCCAATCGATCATTTTACGTATTTTCGGTCGGTATCCGAAAGGTTTGAGCGTTCACGTTGTGATCCAGGGGTCGCCGGTTCGAATCCGCGTAGATGCGGGCGACCTCGCGCGACTGGTGGTGATTGCGTGGCAGCGAAACTTTGGAACAGTGTGCCGGCGTACTTCTGATGCCGTTCTTCTTTCTTCACTTGTTGGTCGAGCCACCCCGATTGTTGTTGTACGCATTGGTGGACTCGTTGGTTAGCGAATAGCTTTACAGAGCTGCCGTATGACCGGTTCCACAACATGGCTGATGAACGCCACTGCTGAACGTTAGACATTTTTCATTTTTTAGTTTCCGCTACGCATTATTCATATCTGCAGGGGCGTTGAGTGACTATACAGATATCTCGGATTTTATGTTTGCCGGTTAATCTCCCGTTACATCACCGAACCGTTGACCGCACGTTTGCCATTCACGTTGATTAGACCGCGTTTTCCGCATACCTGGAGACTTAGTTCCTCACCGCACATTATCAGCTTTTGCTGCAACTGTTTTTACTGTGGCATCAGTCTGGTTACCCCATGACATGGTCATATGAGATGAATCACAGCTTGATGTGGTCCATTCATGATGAGTGGAGCTATAGTTACCTTATCCGGTTTGTGACCCAATTACGAATTCCGCAATGCTCTTGTGCACTCCCACTTCTAACCGTTAGCTGTTTCATTCGACCATGAAGTCCTTTTTGTGTGATCACTGCGTTTGGATTTTTCATAGAATTTTGTTTGTCCACTTTCTGTGTGTGTTATTTTTCCTCTACTTTGCCATGAATGCTATCTGCTTCTCCTTGATGTTTGAATCGTTATTTGGCACCAAATGGACTTACCAATACAACGCTGCTCTAGGGGTCTGGCATGTATTTTCCCATATATTAAGCCGTTGCAACGGATAAACGCCGCGGCCCGAGTTGGGCCTACAATAGATCTCGCGGAAACCAAACTAACTGTTCGTCACCCACGACACAGGTTCCTGCGCGAATCATGGTAGCTGACGAAGCCAGTTCCTCATCGTGACGCGTGTTGCTACGGTGCAGGCGTGAATGCGGCTACAGCCAGATACTGGAGACCGCTAGAATGTTGGAACCTGTCCAGACAAGTCGTAAGGACCCTAGGTTCAAACGATTGTTTATTGTGTCAAACAGCTAATACTAAGTGCATGCGTTACGCCAAACGCGACATCCACCGATCTTCGTCATCGCGGTTGCAGATTGCATGGCGCGGGTTTCTTTTTGTGTCTAGTGGTTTGTGGTGTGCAATGCTTGTGCGTCCATTTCTTGTGCGCATACAACTGCAGTTCCTTTGGGTTAGTCATTACGACCTGCGGTTGGCTGGTTGCTGTTTCGCATCCTTGCACCACACTACTGATAACTGGCGCAGTACTGTCTGCCTTTAGTCCACTACAAAGTCAATATGCCCAGCAACGCACAGTCGGAGGTGGGCACGGGACCCATAAATTAACCATGCTCTGTTCCTAATACACACCGGTCCGACAGATCTCCTCTTTTGTTTTTTCCTCCGACTGAGCTAGCGGTTCCCCAGACAGAGAGGGAAGGCGGGGCAGCGTTACAGCACCATGCTTTGTGTTTGAGCAATGCTCATCTGCGAGCAAACGTACGTGCTCCACTGATCTCAGTAAATCGTTGACAGGAATGTCGTGAGGCCATTGGTCCAAAGTTGTGCTGTCGTACTTGCGGCATGAATTTGCGCAAATATGGTGCCTACGGCCCACTAACGGGGTACGTTACTCTAGGTTAGCTTTATGTCAGGTTAGGAAGAATATTCGTTTGTCTTTGACCAGTTCGGCACACAATCGCGGCGGAATTCGTTCCGTTGCTCTACTCTCTGGCTATAGGATCCCAGTGACTAGATAATGTGACTCTGTTTCCATCCAGCATTCTGCACACTGCCACATAGCAACGCGGGCGATTGGTGACCACTCAGAATCTCTGTCATAACTTAGGATTTCCTAAAGTAATCACGCTTCATAACACACGCTATACTCGGTCCACCACTGTGCATAGTTTGCAGTGGAGGGTGAGGCAGCATAGATAAGCCTATGGGATATGCGCCGTAGTGTATTTTTTATCAAATCAGAAACTGTTCTGTTTTCTTTGTGCTAATGAATCGTGACTAATAATACATCCTTTCACTGTTAGAGTTCACAGATACCGGATTGGATGTGTTGGAACCAGCCAGCATCGAAGTGGCCACCACAGATGAGCTTTCTCTGCCGGTGCAGTACCTCGTCGGAGACAATTTACTCGACATTCCTGGAGACGGCTTTATATCTTCGAATGAAAACGGGGTCGTGCCCTGCATCACCGACAACCTCTGCGATAGGGCATTGTCCGAAGGGACTGCACTTCACCCCAATGCGCATGCTGAAGTGCAGACCGACTTAAAATCGAAATCCCACGCGGCAGCTGCCACTCACGATACGCCATTTTACTGGAACTCGGATACTGATCTTCGACGATCTATCTTGATAACGCCTCCACTTCTCTCTGATGGGCCGATACACGTTCCGACAACCGCTGGTTCGCAGCTCCATCAGCGCGTCGAACGTAGCTTGACCACATCGTCGCTCTCGCGACACGGTGAGTGTTGGCTGATCACATTTTCTCACAGCAACCCTGTTTCTATGCCTAAGATAGCTCGCTGTTTACATTTCTTGATGATAAGCGTTAACTTCCCTGTCAAACTGCTCTAAAACTGGTGAAATTTCGTTTATGCTTCATTTCGAAGCAGGTAGTGCACTTGTTTATGCCGGCATGGACCCATTCACTTACCATCTCATTGACACGCGCACACTCAAAAAATGTGTGTCTGTTGGTCTGCAAATGTTAGCATGGCGCGATCGGATCACGAATTCAGTTGCCAAGGTGTAGGAGAAAGCCCTCTTGCATGCGGAGGAGAAGCGGTAGTTGCGGAAGCGGCAAGCACCGATGAATTGTACTCCATTGACGTCGAGCGCAGGGGGCTGTAGCACATGCAGTCGCGAGTGCCTGAGTCAGGCAGGTCTAGTGAGCCATGAGCGAGACCACTCGGGACTAGTTTCTAAACGACGACGGGTCCTGCAGAGAACGTAGCCAGAACCGGTGCAGCCTCGGTAGGTATGATGCATCCGCTTTCATTTGGTTTACTAACTACACACTTGCGTGCTGAGTTTGTTTATTCCAGGTGATTGGTTTGCTATCTTGTCTTAATGCCGATTGTTTTTACCTCATTTTAATGTCTACATGAATAATACTCTATTAACTTGCACACGTTGCTTTCGCTAATCATGGTTAACTTCGTTAACTTCCTCGCGTTTGTGGCATTTTTTTACTTTCTTTTCCTTGCAACTTGAACTCATCGCAGATTTGTTGATAACCAATTTATTTCATATGCCTATTTAATGAGGAGTTATGTTGGTATATCTGTATGGTGTTTTAGGTGTTTTATTTGATATTTTCATTTCAAGTGATTGGCTGCTGCTTGACATCCTCGATGTGGCTGCACTTGATGTGCATGTTGACAATATGTCTACCTGTCTATTACCTACTGCCTAATCTATAGTGGCTCCAGGAGACGGTCGGTCGTTGCTGGAGGAACGGGTTGCACGGTCCTCATGGCCGTGCCAGGCTCGAAGAGTGGTTCCATGCACTCAGTGTGGAGCGGACTACGGTCTAGCCACCACCTTGTGTGCGCTTGATTCTCCAAATACAGTGTACTTGTGTTTGCCTGTGAAGGAGTGTGGGCCGGCTCCGTTGATGAAACGTGGCTCTCATGCACGTGCCTCCCGGTCTTATTCCTTCGGGTTAACACTGGATATGGGTGTGTGGTTGTAGCTGTGAGTGCTGCAACGTAAGCCACTCATGGTCCCTCTGTAGGCGCAGGCGTCCTGTGGCTGTCATATGTAGGCCACAAATACAGGCAACTCCGGAACCGGATGCCGCTAACCAAATGTTGTCACACTTTGACTATGCTATCCGCGTATCGATTTGGCTATGATGCGCAAGGATGCGTACGTCACTGCTGATCCTCCAAAGAAGCTGGCTGGCGGGTTGCGGCCGTGTTGTCAAGTGATTGAATAATTGCACCTGTCATTTCCAGACACTTGTTGTGTGCATGTATTGCCACACACACACTCTCAATATAGACCGCGATTGTCATTAAAGTGAACCTTTGTCGATTTGATCACTGGGCCCGTAGCTGACGAGGAAGGTGGAAATCAGGCGTTGTTCATCCGAAGACACTGCACTCCACATTGAGATTGCGCGTCACAAACCAATCACACAACGATTGCTCAAAAGTAACCCAACATTGTCTTATTGGATTACACTTGCGGCACGAGTGGAAATTCCGTCATCACCAATACAGGTTAGCTGAGAGTGAGACACACACGCCTCAGCTAATGTGCCGCAGTGCAAAAACGATAAGAGATTAAACAATACCGACTAGGAAGGCTATTGAAAAGTAACATAATAATAACTATCGCATTAGGCACAGAGTATGCGCTCGTAGTTAGATGTGAAAGATAAGCGGGTAGAGAAGGAACAAAGTGACTCATAACACAAACGCCACTGAGGTCGGCTCTTCGCCATGTCAGCAAGTGTATTCAACCAAACCTGTTCATCGTCTTTCGGACCCCAGATAGGGTGTCGAAAAACAATAAGCGATTCCAGGTTCGAAGTGAGGGACTTCATTCCTTTTGACCAAGTTATCGCTTGGCTTCACCTCCTCTTCCATCCAGACCCCGGGCGCTCAAACTTCGTATTGTACTGCTGCGCTGCTTTGTCTCTGAGACTGCGTCCGTCTGTCTGCTTAACTGAGCGCCCAATCAACCGCAAGAAATCAAACCCCCCAAGACTTGACTGACAAGGTATATTCTACAGAATAGGTCGTCTCTATTTATTAATGAACCATACATACTAATTTGGGAAGCATTTTCATCTAGTCTTCGGCTTGTGGCCTTCAGCCAATGTGAGAGAGTTCCGTTCCACGGGTTTGCCATATTTGACCGGATCATTCTCCTCCGTGTTCGATCCCGCTCAAACCCTGGACGCGGGCTTGAATTCACTCTGCAATCAATTCGCACATGATTCCCAAATTTGGCAGAACAGGCGAACGTGATTTCGCGCTCGTGCGCATGGTTTTCACATCCATCTGACTGATCATATGCTCCCCGGCAAGCTGACGCGCACTGTAGCCACCGCGCGCGGTTGCCGCCTTGTGCGTGGACATTCACTCCTCTTGGGTCCTGTTGTATCAAGAAGGCAACAGAATAAGCAGGATGTGTATCCGTACTCAATCCAGCGTAACCGACTTGACATACAGAATAACCATTTTTAACTGTCCGTATTTTACACAATCAATGAGAAGAGAGCTGCTGTGTTTCAGCCAGCCAATGAAACATGAGTAGTGACATGGTGATGAATCGGCCACAGAAACCACTCCCCTCTTGAAGAGCTGCATCACGCGGGCTGGTATCGATCGATAGGCTTCAAAGGTCTGGTAGACAGGCTAGGCAGACTTCACGATAGCGGCGATTCGGCCTGGCGTTTACACATAGTTTGAGACTGGGTAGCTGGTCCATGAGTCGTGTGGAACCAACTTGCGTTAGCAATTTGGCCGTTTTCCAATCGAAATGTCCCTGGACCTAGTCTGTGGGTAATCCGCAACGGTGCGGATAGAGCTGGGAAGCCTTTAGGCGTAGTCGGCTTTTTAAGGCGAAAGCTGCATTGGAGTTGACCATCTGGCGTAGGAATTTCGGTAAAGTGCTATGCGATTTGAAACTTCTGCACGTCCCCCAGAAGACAGGTTTTATGAGCAGCATTTAGTTTAGTGCGTAAGGGCCTTCCTAACATCAACTCCACTGGGGTTATTCTGGTAGCCCTGTAAGTAAATGCAACCGTTAAAACAGCATCTTCCCAATCTGACGCTCCTAATTGGATGGCCCGTATGGCTTCCTTGAGGGATCGGTTAAGCTGCTCGACCATACCATTGGCCGCAGGATTGTAAGCTGCAGTTCTGAAATGCTTTATATTATATCCCTGCAAGAAAACTGCGAAGTTGTGGCTACAAAACTGTGATCCATTGTCCATGACTATTTCTTCCTGCAGTCGGAAACGACTAAACAAAGGTTTAAGTCATTGTAACACAACCGAAGTACTCACTTGGTCGCACATGTGCACTTCATGCCACTTACTGTAAAAACCTTTAGCTACAAGTAGAGTTCTCTTATTCATAGGACTGGTGGCAAAAGGACGCATTATGTCAATGGGGATCTTGGCCTACGGCTTCATCGGGTAAGTAATAGACTGTATCGTGACTTCGACTGGCCGAGAACTTTTGTCCGCTAGGCGGCAAGCGTTGCAGTTCACCACAAATGCCTCAATGCTAGATGCTATTCGTGGCCACCAAAAGTAGAGTTTCGCTCGGTTTTTGGTCCGAACGATACCCGGGTATCCCTCATGTGCACAAACAATTATTTTGTTTACCAACTGATGTGGAGCTATAAACACCGAACCACGCATCAGAAAACCAGCTATCACTGACAGTTCATCCCGAATTGCGTAATATGGAATGAACTCACCGGGGACTTTGTTGTTCTTAGGCCATCCTGAGTTGATGTAGTAACGGGTCGTTGGCATTTTCCATTTGTAATTCCTCGATAGTCAAGGCAGTAAGGTCGGAGCCAAGGCTGGAAACTAATACTGCCTCTTTGAGTCTCTCCTTGTCATCCTCCAGCCCCACGGGTATGCGAGATAATGCATCAGCACTTTGATTTTGCAAACCCGGCCGGTACACAATTTGAAAATTTAAAAAGCACGGTGAGAGGACGAAGATAGGTAGATACATGCGTTCTTTATCGTCTCTACAGTGACGAAAACGATAGCTGGAAGTGAAATACAACTCAAATGATGCAAACGTGCAAATAAACGAAAGGAAAGATGAGAAACAAGTCTCTATCTCCAAAGCAACCTAAGGCTGATCGATAGTTGCTTTTGAACGCAAAGCTCCGGTTTATCGCAACAGTCTCAGCGAAGCGGAGGAGACGGGAATTGGTATGGTGCAGCAGAACGACGTGCTGACATCGATCCGATAACCTGAAATCAATAAAGGCCTGCGGATCGAAGATGACAGGGGCCTGTGTGAATGCGTAGCCTGGGCTGGGCATGCTCGTTGAGCTGGCTCGTGTAGGAGTCACTTCGGAACCCGCTCCTTCATCCAGGTACTCAAGGTCTTATCGGTTCTGCCTATGTAATCAGCTCCGCAGTTACATACGAATTGCTACACTCAACGGGAGTTGGCCCGATAGGCTGAGTTCCCTTCAGTGGAGGCAGTGGCAACTTGTGCGTTCGGTCGTTGTTGATTGCTTTGGCAGCCCCTAAAGTGCTCTGCGTGATCGCGATTAGTCGTCTTGTAGTCCTCATTGTGGCAATATCACTCTTAAAGAGGAGTTCTAGGAATACGATCTTTTTACGCACGGTGGGCACTGGCTCTTTAGTTCGGCTGATTTGACTATGCTTTTCGATGAACATACGATTGTAGCCATTTGCAATTAGTGTACTAGTAATCAGTTACAGCTCGTCGACTATGCAATCGGTGGAAG